CTTTTCCATTATTAATCGTACGCAGGATGTTTGTACCTGGGAGCGCATTAGCGGAATAAGGAAATAATAAGTTATTCTGCAAAGGCTGCAAATACCTGCTAGTGCTATTCCTGCATTAATTTCAGTATTAACTTGACCCATTAGAGAAAATTATAGTGTGGTGTAATTTATACGGACATTAATGCTCGAGCTATGTAAGTACCTACTTCGGTAGTTATTTATAAAATAATTACTTTCACATTACCCATCACTGTAGAAGGTCTTTCTTCATTTTTAACAATTAACGCGACCAAGAAGGCCGTGTTATTTACTACACGGGATTCTTCTTCAATGGAGCCTTCAGCTCATTCAGTACCATTAGTACCTCGGGTGACAATCTCTAACCTGATGTTGTACGCTGGCAATTACTACCAATTACCTGAACGAGGACGCCTGACGAAGTGTTTCTCTTGTAACGAGAACACTCACTGGATGACTATTGGTACTACCAAGGTGAAATTTTGGACCTAGACAGTTCATTAACTCTGAGATTATTTCAAGTACGATTTTTATATCTACGTGTACGCAACTTATCATTAAACTTAGTTTTTATTACACTTGCGAAATAAAATGTCTAGTGTTTGTATTGATTTATTTTTAACTTTTACGTAAATTGGCGTTCCCGCAGCTTTAGGAAATTTCTGTTTCATAGAAAATGGTAAGCAATTATTAATTACACGCTACATTATACAACATGATGTTATAATGTTGGTTTTAAACTCTAGGCGTGTCAGCTTTTTTGTTACATATAACAGATAATTTACTTGTGGTGATTAATTGCGTGAATTACAATTTATGTAAATTACAGGGTGGTTCGTTGCGTTGTTCCGCAAGCTTGTGTAAATTACACAAGCAAGTGATTCTAACTTCCAAAATTCTGGAGAAATTCTAAAAAAAATACTTAATTCATGTAAGATTTTTTTTAAAGCAATTAAAGAATCAAACTTTCCCAAAAATATTAAAAAGTGTTATTTTCAAAAGAAGTTGCTTTTATTTCCGGCGAAACTAGAAGTACATACATACTGTGGCCATGTTCCGACTTAATCTTTCTTACAAATTTTATTCCCGTCTTGTTTATATAAATATATGTTCACGTGTTTGATGCTTTCTGGTAAACCACTTGAGATGAAACACCCTGTATTTTTCATATCTGGAATTTTTTTGACGTACTATTTTTAAAGAATCTTTTAAATTTAGGTTAACACAAGCTAACATAATTTTTGTATTTATGATTTTGTTTGTTTTATTTATTTACCGTCGTTTTCATATACAGGGTGAGTAACTTGTTTGTTCAAATGGAACATTTTTCTCTTGCTTTATCGTTACAGTTTATTTTTGAAATCCAGATGCAACGTTGCCGCGTTATCACAATTTTCCTGAATTTTTTCACAAAAAATCGTTATAGGGCTATTTTTAAAATCTGTGTTACAATATTTTGTTTGATTTTATTGGTACGCACTTTGTTGTGGTATAATTAAAATTGAGTTTAATATACAGAGTGTTTGTATTTTTTTTAAATTATATCTACAATTTTTAAAATGTCGATATTTAAAAATAATAATCATTTATAATTTTTTATAAACATTCTGCATATTAAAATTTGATTTAATTGATACCAAAACAAAGTGCGTATTTTTGTTTATCTTTCCATAAAATATTGTAACAGAGATATTTCTAAAAAAAATAAAAATTTCAAAATTGTACTTAAAAAAACTAAGTTGTGTCTCAAAAGTAAAAGCTCCTGTGTAGTTTAAGATAATTCCATTTTATTAATTATCGAGAACAGCCCGTTTAGTGATTCACCCTGTATATGGTCCCCATTTCATTAATTATTAGAAACAGAGAAAAGTCAGGAACCAAAATTGTATTTTTTTTAAGGACAATACTCTAAAACTATTTTTAAATATACAGAGTGTTCCGTTTTTAAGGCGTAATACACAATTTAGTTTCTTTGATGAAATACCCTATATATAATTTTACATACTTATACTCATTATCCTCGTCCTAAACTTTATAACCACAGTTGATTTTGAAAATTCCGACACGACGTTGCCAAGTTGTTAAAATGTTCTTAAAATTTTTTGACAACGGAAGAGTTCACAAAAAATCGCAATAGGGTTATTTTTAAAATCTCTGTTACAATATTTTGTGGAAGAAACGCGTTTTGTTGTGGTACCAATTAAATCAAATTTTAATATACAGGGTGCTTATAAGAAAATGCTAAAACTTCACAATTTTCAAATATCGATATTTTAATGTTTTCAAATATAGTTTTATTATGTTTTTTTTTCTTCCAGTATATACCAGTAATTTCTTTTATTTGATACAACCCCTGTAATTTTTTTATTTTTAAAAATAAACATAGTTCTTTGAGCAATTTTATATCATTTTAAAAGATGACTCATGTGAATGAAAGACATGAGTGTCAATTTTTCAAGCTACTAGATTATCATCAATAAATTTAATTTTCGTCTATTTTATTGAATAGCTTTTTAAGTATTGACTTTAGAATATTGGTTGCTTTTGATTTTTTAGAAAAAAATCAATCTTTCCATTTATGACAAAATATACCTAGTGTTCCATAAAAAAAAATAAAGTTGAAGGCATTTCAGGTTCTACCGGAAGTCATAATAAAAATGTGAAGTTGCCGTCACATGGATCTTTTAAAATGATGAAATTTGCTTCAAGAATTACAGGTTTATCTTTAAGAATAAAAAAGTTACAGGGGTTGTATCAAATAAAAGAAACACCCTGTATATATTTGTTTCTTAAAAAATTAAAAAATCGCAGTAACAATCAACAACAAACATGGAAAATACTTACCAAACAAGAAATCGATCAAAAAATTTAATAAAATGCACTAATAAAATACAGGGTGTTCTGTTATGGAAAAAAACTGAAATATCGTCTTCGAAAATTTATAAATTAAAAAAATGTTTATAAACACTCTGTATAGGAAGATTTAATTCTTTATATGACAACACGGTACCTTTATTATTTCTTAAAAGTTTCAAGAATAATTAATAATAACATGGCAACGTCGCATGGTAATTTCAAAAATTCGAAAATATACCTATTAGTTGTCGGCCAAACAAAATATGTAAAAATATATAGCGTGTTCTACTTAAAAATACTAAGTTGAATGTTGCGCTTCAAAAGCGGATATCGAGGAACGCACGTTTAGTGATTCACCCTGTATACTTGATAAAACATTAAATATTTTATTGTAATTACCTATATACCTAGATAAAACTTACTTTTTTAAAGGGTGTTTTTTGTTTTAAACGTATATAGGTTTGTATTTGAAAATAAAGGTTTATTTTTATAGTGTTGCTTGCTAACTTTGGTATTAAATTTATAGAAATCTTACATCCAAATAGTTTTTCTAATCTAAAAAAGAAAAAAATAAATAAATAAACATGTTCATACCTCTCGTTTTTATTATTTTATCATTGTTATACAGGGTGGTAAATTTTATTTTTCGTTAGTAGGGAATTTCGGTTCTGAACGACGGTTTTAATCCTGAAATTAACAAAATGTCGCATGCATTATTGTAATACAGTTTATACAAATTTTCTAGATATATATTTTTTCAGTTTGTGAGGCTTTGAAAATACATTTTTCTATTAATTAAATTTAAAAATGAAAATATATTTTAATTACCTTCAGTATTAATTTATGTACTTCTGAATATTATTACATATATGAAATATTCAAAATTACATATAAAATTTTAAGATTATTGATGTGGAAACAGAAAATTTGGTTTTTGAAATTCTGTCAAATTTGTATTCTTTTTGTCTTTCCTTGTAATTTTAAAAGTTGTTTTAGTGCTAAATAAAGTTAGGACTTAACACGATGATACAGGGAATAATTATATTTGTTTTCAATTTTTCTTCCTTTTATTTTTTTCTTCCTATTAATTCAAACATTTAGTTTATTTTTTCAACATCTCTAAATTATTCGTTTTTCTAGTTTTGATATTTCTATTAAAGATTGTGAATTAATTTTCAGATTTATGATAATAATAATAATAATAAGTATAAATCTATTACCAAGAGGAAATATACCTAAGTAGTTACAGGGAAATGTAAATATTTCTTTTTTAGTGTTTTCAACAATGTCTTTTTCTTTTTGTTCATTTTTAAATTTTCAACGATGTCTTTTTCTTTTTATTCATTTTTAAATTTTCATTAAGAACTTTAAAAATTAATTTTCAAATTTTGTAACACATCTAATATTTTAAAATTTTAAACAGTTTTTGGAAAAATATTTAATGTCTCTCAGTTTCCAGACACTTTTAGAACTACATATAAGTAAAATATATATAAAAAAAATGTGAAATAATAAAGTCATCAAACTATTTAAACGAAACTTTCCTCACTTATTAAAACAATGTGTGTCAAGGTCCACTCGAGATGAAGATTTGTTTAATAACATAATGATAATAATGGAATGACATCATCGGTATTTTGGTGGGGATAAATAAATTGATAAATAATTGACAAATTGATACATAGAATAATTGTCTTCATAGAACCAAAATAACGAAGAATCATTTTATTGAAACTCTAGTAAAACAACAAATTTGGCGTGTAGGTACAGTTCCATTAACGAATATTACTATCAACGTATATCTACTTATAGTAATAAAACCGTTATTTTTCCGTTTTTCTCTTTATTATTAAATTTCCTGCTTGCATTCCGGAAAGTCCCGGTACCCATTCCACCCCGCCCCAGTTCCCGTCCTCCTCCAGCCGGCCCATCCCCGGCATCTCCGTCTCCGGAGCCCGCTCCCGCATTTTTCCCAGGCGCAATGGCGGTGAGCGCGTCTCCGGGGCCGTCCTCGGGCGTGTCGGCGCCGTCCCATTGGCCCTGGCCGCCAAAGCGGGCGGGGCCGGCGGCCACGTGTCCAGGACCACACGTGCAGGTGGCCGCAAGCTCAGTGCCACAAAGGACTCTGCTGTGGGTGGTCGGGACACAGGTTGGCTCCTCCTGCGCGACCCGTCGTACTCGCTCGGTCATGTTCGAGCTGGAACCACCCCTACTCTACCCCCGAGCTGAGTAAATAGTGAGGTCCAGGTGATATTGTTTATTTTTTGCGTTTGTGGTTGTGTGCGCGGGTGGACGCGATGAAGGTGACAGTGATTTTCGTGATGAACCTCTTTGTGCTCACCGCCCTGGGGGAGGTCGCCGCCAGGAACAAGAACAGGGGCAAGGGATCGATGTGGTGGTAGGTAGCGGAGGGTGGCGGTCGCGAGGAGCGCGGTGGATGGGTTGATGGACATGGTTTATGTGCACGGAGAGTGGGTTGCGTAAATCTTGGATGGCAGGAGATGGGATGTGAGCTGGGTTTTAATGAGGCTTGAGAGATTTGGCTGGGGTTTGAGACGACTTGGAGGAAAAAAGTCCGGGTTTTAGATTAGGTAGAGGGTCAAGAACAAGAACAGGATTGTCAAAATTTTCGATTTATTGTTGTTTTGAAGTCGCAAAAATTAATTCGTTAATGACTTGTTGAAATTGAGATTAATTAATTAATATTCACATGACAGAATTGACGTGTCAGGAGGGTAATTAATTATTTTTAATTAATAGTGAGATTTTCATAACAATAAGAATAAATTGTTCACATGTACCTATCTAAAGTAAATTAGAAAATAAAGTGTTAATTAAGTAACTTAAAACATTTAAATAATTTTATTAGCTTAATTAATAACGTTAATTAATTGTCGTATTTAGAAAAAAAAGTGTCAAAGTTCCTTAAGGAAAAGTTACAACGAACGAGAAGAATTTGTCTTAAAGTTTTATTTTTAAATTTTAAATCAAAATCGATGCTTTACTGTTCCAAAATAAAGTTGTTTTTGTGCTATACAGGGTGGTGTTTGTTGGTGATTTTTATATATCTACTTAGTTACTGAGGAACTTTCAACTTTGTTTCTATAATTTAATGGAAATTTTATTTTTCGTTGTATACCTATACTTACATACCATTTGTAGTATCCTTTTTTTTTTCAAAATTTTTGGTACAAATTTATATGTATCTTCCTTTCATTCATCTTTTTTTTCCTATTTTTTAAGTTTAAGTTTAATATGGATTTTAGTATAAAATGTGAACACGTTTATTTATTGATCGCGTTAATTTAAATTTAATTTGAATTAGTCTTTATTGAAAAAATGCCCTGACAGTCTGTATTATTTGGGTTCCAATTAAATTATTTTTCTTTTTGTTTTGGATTTATGTGAAATTTGTCTTAAAATGGTTCTATGAACAGAATTATTCTATCTGTCAATTTATCAATTAATTTATCCCCGATGATCTTATTCCATTATTATATTATGTCATTAGAGAAATCTTCATCTCGAGTAGACCTTGATACCCATTGTTATTATAAGTGAGGAAAGTTTCGTTTATATATTATTTCAAAGGCATCTATATGTTTTTAATGCATCTCAAATTGATACATAAATTATTTATATAACATTTTTTCCTTATTTTTGACTATTTACTTGTAACTATTTGTATTACCTGTTTCTGGACTAAATTTATTATTATTATTGTTACTATCATAAATCTGAAAATTAATTCACAAATTTTACTAGGAATAGCAAAAGTAGAAGAACTAACAACTTTAGAAATGCTGAAAAAATAAACACATTGTCAAAAACAAACAAATTTTCTTTTTATTTTCTTCGTTCTTTTTTCTAGAAACAGTTTCCAGAACCATACATAAATTAATAAAAAAGCAGTGAAAATATACTTTCATTTTTAAATTCAATTCATACAAAAATTTGTTTTCAAATCTTCATCAATTTAAGAAGAATATATAGTTATAAAAAATTTGTAAACTGTATTACAATAAAGCGACTTTTTGTTGATTTCTAAATTAACACCGTTTTTCACAACCGAAATTCCCTGCTAACGAAAAATAAAATTTATCACCCTGTATAAGTACGATTTCTTGGGTTCCTTTTTTTCGCTGACGTTTGTTAAACATTGTAAAATTTTTTCCAATTTTTTACCATTCTTAACATCATTTTATTGTTATTTAAGCAATTTTTAATGTTTCTACATATTAAAAAAGTTCTTAGAAAATAGCCAAGAAAATATGGGAAAAATTATTTTGAGCCCTTGTTATATTTTTTAGTGATTTTTCTTGTGAAAATGTTTGTTTTTGATGTAAAAAAGCGCAACTTTTGGTTGCAGATTTTGTTAATTTTTTCAACTTTTACCACTTATGTTTCTATTTTACTTATAATAGGTATAATTATTTCTACTAAAGAATTATTTGAATCCCGGAGGTACATTTATTAAAAGCAGGGTCATTGCTAAACACAGAAGTAAAAATAATTTTGCGAGTTCTTGGTCAGCAAATCCGCAATCTAGGAAATTTTATTATTGAGAAGAAAATTGGTGAAGTAATAAGTAATTGTGGTATCTAGGAAGAAATCGATAATTTGTTTTAATTACCTGCTAATTACATTGCGGTTTCTAAATAAATATTATTGACTAAATTTCCAAAATTTTTGTCAGCAAATTTTTTTAATTTTTTTCGTAACCTTCTATTGATTTATAATTTTAAATAAATAATGTAATTCTCTGGAAATTTTATTAAAACATCGTTGCTTTCAAAGTTTTATTCAAAAAATACTCTGTGCCATATTTTAGATAAAATACTCAGGAAATTAATTCGAGAAAAAATACCTTTTTGGCGCTAACAACTGACCGTTTCAAAGTTATGACGTCATCAATTTTTTTTTAATAGCAATCCTAATATTTATATTTTGAGATACAATAAGAAAACCACTAAATATCGTGTACAACATTCAGTATTACCAGCGAAACCAAGAATCCAAAGCAGAAAAACGCTAAAATAATAAATATTTCGAGAAGTTTCGCTCTGCATCTTCAGACTTTTTCAACTTTTTTTTTAATGGAACGAAAGCCAAAATATTTTTTCAGGGACAACGTGACATGATTTTTGGTAGTATGTATTATTTTAAAATAATAATTAAAAAAATGTCACGTAATCCTCTGAAAATTTTATCAAAACACGACATTTTTTTGCAAAACAAAACATCTCTGTCTTCAAAGTTTTGTTTCAAAAATATTGCGTGCTTTTTGCTGTTTTGGATGAAATACTCAGGAATTTAATTCGAGAAAAAAGAAGTTTTTTGGGGCTAATAAGCAGTGATATCGAAGTTATGACGTCATCGATATTTTTTTTAATAGCAATCCTAATATTTATATTTTGATATAGAATAAGAAAACCACGAAATATCGTGTGCAACATTCAGTATTGCCAGCGAAACCAAGAATCCAAAGCAGAAAAACGCTAAAGTAATAAATATTTCGAGAAGTTTCGCTCTGCATCTTCAGACTTTTTCAACTTTTTTTTTAATGGAACGAAAGCCAAAATATTTTTTCAGGTACAACTTTTTGCTGATTTGGATGAATTTAATTCTAGAGAAAGAAGTTTTTTGGGGGCCAATAACCAGCCATCTCAAAGTTATGACGTCAACGATTTTTTTTAATAGCAACCCCAATATTTATATTTTGAGACAGAACAAAAAAACTACCAAATTTCGTGTAGAATTTTCAGTAATAAAACCAAGAAATCCAAAATAAGAAAACAACTAAATTAATAATTATTTAAAAAAAAATTGTTCTGCATCTTTCCAAAGAGATATTTGTAACATTTTTTTTAATGAAAAAAAAAACATATTTTCAATTACAAGGTGTCATTATTTTCAGTTGTATTTTGTATTATGACAAAATAATAATAAGAAAAACATTTTTCGCAATTTTAGGGTGCCTATTTTCAAAAGATATTTCCTATGTAAAACTGTCAAAGCTTTTTTTTGTAAAATTTAATGCTTAAAAGTTCATCAGATTTAAAAAATGTAGCAATTTTTGTTTTAAAATCAGTAGCATAATAAACGTTCCCCGAAATCTAACATTTTGCAAGTTCCATTGATAACATTATTTACAGGGTGATTAAAAAATGACGCACCAACTCTGTGCCACATTATTAAGGACTGTTTATTGTGCAAAGAAAAAATAATTTTAAAAATCCTTGGACCCAAATATAAAAGACATATAGGCCTTCAAAGTTTAATTTTTCTGTTGAATATTTGACTTTCATTATTCAAAGTAATTTTCTTCGTTTGATAATAATTATAAAACTTAAAAATTGTTCTGAATGAATCTCACAACATTGGCTTATTTTTCACCTTTTTTAATCCATCGATCTAAATCGATATTTTATTTTTGCAAGCAATTTTTTAATGATTTTTCTTGAACTTGTATTTGTGAAGTTAACAATGTTTCGTTGAATTAGAGCACCATTGTAATCACCCTGTATATTGTAAATAAAATTAATCCAACATCCATCATTAGATCAAAATGGTTTAAATAATTTACGTTACAAGGGATGTTTCAATATTTTTTTACAATTTCATATACAGGATTTTTATAAATGATGCTAACATCCATTTTTTTAATTTTAACGTCGTTCATGACTAAATAAAAATGTGAGGGTCCAATCTTTGATCCTTGAAGCCCAATCAAAGCTCTTATTAGCGTTTCACGACAAAATGTGCTCGTTTATTGCGACATGGGAGTGATTTATCAGAAATAATTCTAGCTTAGACAGTAATGAGTCAGTAAGAACGATTGATGGAAATTTACAAACTAGTTTGTCGATGCAGCGCTGCGAAACGAACAAATTCTATAAGGAATTGAATATAAGAAGAATTTTTATAATTATTAATAGTGAATACCTAATACGAAAGCGATATTAGTATGTAACATTTTGTTTGGCCCGTGATAACTCCGAATCTATGCAACCAGTAAATCAGATTTGATAAGATTTAACCGACCCCACGTCCCACTTATCGTGAAAAATCTCCCCGGTTTCAGCATCGTTTACCTTCCGCAAGAATTTCAGCAACTTGTTAAACCTCCGCGTCGTCCCTCATCCTTCACGCTAAAATATTCCCCGCGATTTCCAGATCTTGTTACTCTTATTGGACGAATTGTCGAGACGCCGTCCGAAGCTAACATTTAAATTCCCCCAGTAATACGCATAATTAATCACACAAATGCGTTTCTCGGGAATCTATTAATTTCTCCGAGGCAGCGTGCAAGTGGTGAGGAGCTCTCTGTTGTGGCCGAGTCCTTACAAAGCCAGAGGTATTTACCAAGCCATTTACAACTGCTTTGCATATAGTTAC